TTTGTTCAGCTGTTTCCCTCTGAACAGAACCAGCAGAACTACTTACCTTGATGTTTATCCAACCAGCAGACAGAACCACTGGCTGCTTCACCATCTCTTCACATCTTTTATCATTTGGCTCCATTTTTATTTTGAGCAGCTTTCATGGTGAACAAACATCCCAGAGCATGATGCTGCCACCACCATGTCACTGTGGAGGAAGAGTTTTATTTCTGCATCATGTTGATGTTTTGCTGAAATGTTTAGGTTTGCAATGGACAGATGACCTGTCCAGGTTCACCTGTCCAGTATGACCTGTCCAGTATGACCCGTCCAGTATAACCTGTCCAGGTTGACCTGTCCAATATGACCTGTCCAGGTTCACCTGTCCAGTATAACCTGTCCAGGTTGACCTGTCCAGTATGACCCGTCCAGTATAACCTGTCCAGGTTCACCTGTCCAATATGACCTGTCCAGGTTCACCTGTCCAGGTTCACCTGTCCAGTATGACCTGTCCAATATGACCTGTCCAGGTTGACCTGTCCAGTATGACCTGTCCAGTATGACCTGTCCAGTATGAACCGTCCAGTACAACCTGTCCAGGTTCACCTGTCCAATATGACCTGTCCAGGTTGACCTGTCCTGGTTGACCTGTCCTGGTTGACCTGTCCTGGTTGACCTCTCCTGGTTGACCTGTCCTGGTTGACCTGTCCTGGTGACCCCTGCCTCTCGCCCGTTGGCAGCAGGCGGTTGGCTCCAGCTGCCCTCTTGACCCCGATGTTTAACGGTGGAAGAAATGGACAGATGGACGCCATGTTAGGGTTTTTCTCTGATGATCAAACCTTCTGCACTTTCTTCCTCCTCATGTGTCTCCATCCATCTGTCCATCAAGTCTGAACAGCTTCGCTGTTGCTGCTGAGGAAAACATCCACCTCAGCATGATTCTGCCACCACCATGTGTTAGACTGTAGGCACAGTCTCCATGGAAACAACCAATAAAAATGTGACATAAAAGTATTTTCAAAGCAAACCCTGTAAAACACAATCATGTCACCACAATGGCCACTAGATGGCAGCGTTGGAGTCCCAATATAATCCATGTTTTGAGATTATTATGGATTAGGACAAATAAACTTGGTCAATAATCAGTTCAGTTAGATTTTAATGAATTATTTCATGTTTATAGTCACTATAGTCTGGTTTAAGGCTAAAGATGTAACATAGTTATTCAAATGAGAGCAAAAATCCTGTCATGTGTAAAAATGCCTTTCTGCTGCCTGTAGGATCAAAACCTCAGATGTTTCCCATCTTTATTAAATGAAATGTTTAATACATAGAGGTAACTTGTCTTGAAATTAAAATAAAAGACCATTATATCAAATATGGCAACTACAGCTGTGAAGTTTTAAATGATATTTTTCTCATTTTTTCTAAAAGTTACATTTTAAACATGTTAAAGCAGGAAATAATAATCTGAAGTTCAGTTACTGCAGGTTTTAAATTCAGAAATGCTACAATGAGCCATTCACTAAACAGAGTAAAAACTGAGAAAAATATTAAAAGATTTCAGAAAGGCACTTTTTTTGTCCTGAGGAGAAAGAGGGAACTAGTTATCCTTGCTGCTGTCTCTACACAGATCTTTAGTTTTTATTGAATTTTCTTCAGAATGAAAAATGATCACAACTTCACATCCAGTGGGTCGTATCATTATTTTCAGTATTTCTTGAGCGAAACGCAGAACAGAACAAAACCAACATGATGGTTCCTTCACTTTCGTTCCCTGAAACAGAAACAGAGACTGAGAAACAAGGAAACATCCACCTGATCCAAACACGACAGATAAATACTGAGTTCTGACGAAAATAATTTATATCAGGAACTTGGTGGATTTGTTGCTGCGGTTCTGATGGTGCAGCTGCCATAACCAGAACCAGGACCAGAACTGGAATCAGAACCTGAACCAGAACTAGAGAGAAACAGGAGACAGCAGGATGTCTTTCTATTTATGGTGAACAGAAAGTTTGAACAAAAACCAGTCAGAGCAGATTTTCTTTCCCAGAACTGAAAGCATTTCTGTTGGTGCAGGTCAACCATAAAGGCCAACATTTGTCATTGAGAGCCATTATGACTGTTGTACCAACAATATCTTTGTCATCAAGAGACTGAAACTCTCCATATTCTGTTCCAATTTAAAGCCTGATTGTTAAACTGGTGAAGAAGGAAAAGATATGGACGTTGTTAAAGGAAAGTAAAGGCACAGAGGAAACATCCATATTGTAGCTTCATATAATCTGGACTCAATGTGTATTATCTGATCAATGAATTTACAATGATTAACCCTAAATCAATGATCTACAGTCACAAGTTAATAATGGAATCATTCCTGTCCATGTGAATGTGATGCTCATGTGCTTTTCCTGTTGAACTGCAAACAGATAAAATAAAAGTGCAAATGTTAGTGATCCACTGCTGGAATCTGAGTTTTGATCTCTATAATAAAATAAATAAAATTAGCTATGCTGCTAATTTGACTCTGCTTGTATTTAATGCTTTGGACTCAGAACTGCAACCTGTGAAAGCAGGTTGGAGACTTAGCCTTTGGTTTCTGGAGATTCCAGCTTTATGACCTTTGCTCCGTCCGTCAATCCTTCCGTCCGTCTGTGGCGATGTCGGCTACCCACCCGACCCGTCTTGAAACACGGACCATGTCTACTCTGACTGACTTACATTTGTCAAGATAAACCAATTTAATAAATTCCGTTTAAAAACTTAATAAATTGAGTTGGATAAACTTAATTGAATTACTTGTTACCAAAAAATCAATTAAGTTAAGTTGGTTCAACTAATTTCTTTTTAGAGTGTACATGATATACATTATGACATCATATAAATATGTCTATTGAGGTAAATAAATGTATATATGAACAAAACAATCCCTTTCTTAAGTGTTTAATTTATAATGTTTATACTTTGAATTAAATCATCTTAAAGGGGATTAAGATGATTTAATCATAAGTGTTGCCTTGTTGATAAGGCAACACTTATAATTCCCTCTGTACAAAATACAGTAAAGATGAGGCTCTTAAATAAAATGAAAGGTGATTTTAAAGCACTTTTTAAACTTGCTTGATGAACTGATTTCTAATCATAAAAAGTGAATTTATCCTCCAGAGTTCAGGCGTTCAAACCTCTGTAAGTTCAGAATAGTATAGAGAAAAATCATCTTTACTTCTTCATGTAGCCAGTGAGAAACGACAGAAATAATCGTTAAGATTAATGAGCAAGATGTCTGCTGATTATGAGCAACACTGGAAAAAAGATTTTGAATCTGTGAAATCAACAAAAAAATTCAAGTTAGTATCTTTACAAATATTTATTTAGTAATGAGGTTAAACTTTTGTTCAAGATACAAGATTTTTTTTTCCAGAAGATCCATTTTCACATAGCATCTGTAAGTTTGTCCATCCAACAAAAAACATTCTTGTTGTCTTTTCTGTGTTTCACTGGATATTTTAAAACACCAAATATTACCCATAAGCCATCAGTTTTCTGACACCAGTAGACCAGCAGTGACTGGAAGTAAAAGCAATTTTGAGCTAGAAGTTACTTAAGGTGGCAGTTCAGTGTTGGTGCAGCTAAGCAAAATTGATCAAGTTATTTTAGGTTTGCAATACTTAAATCAAACAACATAACTTCAGTTTTTATGCATTTTATTCTTTAGGACAATATTTGCACTGTCCTCCCTGCAGCAGCAACTAATTAAACCACTTTTTTAATTGTCATGAAAATCAGATTTAAGATGTTTAAGGTGAAAGATTTCAGAGCTTCATCCATGTAGTCAGCTGATCAAGAATGAGGCTTTTAATGAGGTTTATATTCCTCATAGGAAGTCATTCAGTGACCTAAAAGAGGACAATGAGTCTCAACTTCATGACATTCTGGCCGTCAGAACCAGAACACCTTCAGCCAGAGACCCACAGAAAATCAATCAATAAACAAGTTTATTTTTAAAACACCCTTCATACTGATAACAGATCAATAAAGACATCATTTCTGTCTGTAGCCATTAGGATGTACAAAGCCCAAGTCTGAGTAACTTAAATCTAATTTTCTCTGCTCTCATTTATATATCATTTCCCTTTGGGGATCAATAAAGTGTGTCATATTCTATTCTAAATGACACATTGCCATTTATTATATTATAAACTAATATACATTTATATTTATACGCACAGTGGCACAGTTGGCAGCACTGCTGCCTTGCAGGTTCTGGGTTCGATTCCCGGCCCGGCTCTTTCATGTTCTCCCTGTGCATGAGTGAATTTTCTCCAGGTACTCCAGCTTCCGCCATCAGTCCAAAAACATGACTGTTAATTGGTTTCTCTAAATTCTCCCTTGGTGTGTGTGTGTGTGTGTGTGTGTGTGTGTGTGTGTGTTGTCTGTCTCTGTGTTGCCCTGCGACAGATCGGTGACCTGTCCAGGGTAAACCCCGCCTCTCGCCCGGAACGTAGCTGCAGAGGCAGCAGCTGTGAGACATTTCCTGTACAGACAATATGTTATGAAAATACAAAAAGAACTTAATAAGAAAAAAATGTAAGCAAATATGTGCAATTTAGTTCATTTTAAGTTTACAGAACTCAGCTAAGTCAATGCATTTGAGCAAGTTGGAATGACATAATAATACACATAGCTCATCTCCACTGTAAAACCTAATTAGTTCTTCCTGCTGTAAAAATACATGTAAACTTGTCAACTCTTCTTTTTGTATAAACAGAAAAACAAAATAATGCAATTTTAGTGAATGTAACTTGTTAACTTAATAACTCAGACTGTGATCTTATTTAAACAGCTATAATTTAGAGATGTGCTTTGTTGAAAAAGTGTTTTCTTTCTATTAGTTTCCCTGCTCATATATAATTATTATCAATTTAATGGAAGAAATAGGCTTTGGAAAAGTATTTTAACATCTTAAGATAGTAACTTCTTGAGGACATTGTTGTCCTCGTGGAAACTTGCCTGGTATGAAAGACGTTTTGGGAAAGTCAAAGAGATAAAAGTTGTGCAGTGGACGTCACAGAATCTTGATTCTTTTCTTCTATAGCAGCAGAGTTTGATTCTTTCAGACAGTCCTCAGATGTCAAGGAGTTCCTGCAACAGAAATCAAAATCATTTCAAATTAGAGCAATAATCTATGTTATTATTCTCTTGAACAAAATATAAAACAAAACTGGAAACGATGCAATAATTTTTATGCTTATTATAGTATAGTTATAATCATAGAGTGCAGAAACTATTTACATACATTTAGTCTATATTCTGTACTGACCCATGAGTTTCAGGCTTGTTTGGTGTCTTTGTGTTGGTTTTTTTGCAGCCTAAGAAAAGTTTGAAAACATTAAAAAAAAAATAAAAATCAGGAAATTGACATGAAGAAAATCACAAAAGTCATTTACCTTTTATTGTTAAAACTGCCACAACCACCACTGTGATCATTAATGCTAGTGGAACCCAATCACCGTTCTAGAGATCTTTGTTGAAATATCTGTGAAGGAAGAAGCAGAGTTTGTCAAGAGATGCAGGTAGGTGAGGAAAACATTTAACTATTTGTTATGTATTCAAGAATTACAGGGAAATATTTAACTTTAGCAATTTTATTAAGCATAAGTCCAAAATGGAGAAGTCTCTTTTTTTTAATTTAACTTGTTCTTACCAGGTTTGACCACACCTGTCTTTTGGTTCGTTTGAGTTTTAACGGTGCAGTAGTAGGTCAAATTAGGGTCGTGGTCCATCAGAGAGCTGCTGATGTCATAAAGCTTCTGAGCGCCGGTGCAGCTGTACGTCTGATCATAATGACTGTCAGAGACCAACAGAGAGCTGCTGATGTTGTAAAGCTGATCTTCAGTCTGATTGATTGTGGTTGTGTTATGAAGATCCAGTTCAGATGGAGGCTCAGTGGACCAGGTGAGTTCAGGTTGAGGGTAGATCCCCTCTGAGCTGCAGATGATCCCGTTTTCTTTCGGCTCTTAATAACTTCTGTTATTAAAGCTGCAAAGCAAGCAAATAACACATCAAGAACAGTAAAGAAATGACATTAATTTAAAATGACCACAGTAAAGCAGGTCTACCTTCAACCTTTAGTTGAATGAATATTTTCTTGCTTCCTCTCTCTGTGCTGCTGTAGCAGAATCTTCCTTCATCCTGGATCTTCACTCCTGTCAGTTTTAAGGAACCGTTTCCTCTGGAGATCCGATCATGAAACAGAGACGTCCGACCTTTGAACTGCTGGTCCTGGCGACCCAACTGGTCCTGACCATCATAGTAGGAATGGACATTATGTCCTGATGTTATGTAATTCCAGTGGATGACAGTATCAGAACTGGGATCAACATTACAAGGTAAAAATGCCGCTCTGTCTGAAAACACAGGTCACTGTGGGATCTGAGGAAGAAACAGAATGAAACCAGATATTTATACATGTTTATACAAATGTTGTACATTTGCATTCAAAACAAGGAAATGTGAAAGACATTTAAATATGTTAACATGGCTATATGAGCTGTTCCAGGTTTTGGTTTCTCTTTCACTGCAGACAGAACAAAGCTGTTCTTTCATTTTAACGCTGAGACATTATCAGCACAAAAACAAAGAACTGTTCGTCCTTCACAGGTTTTAAAACGTCTTTCTGTTCTTGAAGTGGTTTGGAAATTCTTGCAGATTTTATCTGATGCTTGTTCTTGTTTAATTTCTCACATAACTCTTGTAAATGATGTATTTACCCTTAATGTTTTACCTTTAATGTTTTACCTTTAATGTTTTACCTTTAATGTTTTACCCTTAATGTTTTACCTTTAATGTTTTACCCTTAATGTTTTTGGATGATCTTGGAGACACTAGAACTGCCAACAGAAACAACTGAAGAGTGAAGCTGCATTCACAACCTTTAGAATAATTTTAGTTTTAATAAAACTCAGGCATCATTTACACATTTTATTCTGTAAACTATGAAAAGCTAATCAATTTCTAACTTTTCAAATAAACACTTTAGTAAATAAAACTCAAACTCCCCCCAATAAATTATTATATTTAACATCAGAACAAGAGAGCAAAGTCAAATTGTTTGTGTAAATAAACTTAACTAAATAATTATTACACACCTCAAACCTTAAATATAATATTTTTATGTTCTATGTTTGCTATTAAAAACCTAAAACTGTTGTTGAGGAAACGATCAAATCAAACTGAGAATGCAGGAAATATTTGACTTACCTTCGTTTGTACAAATTAATGTTTGGATCAGAAAAAACCAGAAAGATCAAAATCTCAACCATAACGCAGGTGATTACAAAAACAATATACCAAAAATGATCCTGCTTAAGTCAAGAGTCGCATATTTTCTGTTTCACTCTTTCCACTGCTGAACACCAACCAGCCTGGCTGGTTTATAAGTGGGAGAGGTAAACTCCTTTCTGGTACCTGGGCGGTTCTGTGATGCGGTTCTGTGCAGCCCAGGTTTCCCCACGGCCAATCAGCTGATCACTTTCATTGATCCTCTCTGTACAGCTGACCCTCTGAGTTCACCATGTTTCATTTCCTCACAGCAGTTTCATGTTTTTCCTCTTGCTGACAAATGAAGTTCATGAAGAAATGAAGTTTATTGTTTTGTTCACAGGTTCATTTGGCTTTGTTTGTTCCTCACTAGTGACACCTGCTGTTCAAACTGAAACTGACAGCCTTGTACTTCAGTAAATAATAGAGCACAGTAATGTATATTGTAATATTATCATAATATTTCAAAGATAATTAAATATGCACTTTTTATTATTTGTTATCTGTTGTTATGAAAGAAGTTTGTTATTTTTCTGTATCATATTTATATTTGTTGTACATTAAGAAACTGCAGATGGAAACTGACTTCATGGATAACTGGCACATTATGTGAAGTGAACTGAATATTTTCAATTTCAGAATAATTACATGCTAAACGATGTGCTGACAGTGCAGCATTGGAAAAGCTACAAGCTTCTTAAAGAGACAGAGACCAAAATCAGGTGATGCTATGATGCAGATTAAATTGTCTTTGAGCTGTTGGTGTTTCTGTCACCTCACTTAATAAAGTCTCTCATTATTACACTGGACAAGTTATCACTTCATTTTATATGTTGGTTTTCAAAATAAAAACGAGATGAAGCTGTGGGTTGATGCAGGTAGTTTAGTCACTAGTAGCAACTGAGGAGAGACTGATGAAAGCTATATATTAGTCAGTTAGCAGAAATTATTTAAAGGAGTCAAAGGTCATTGGATCTTTGCAGTCCTATCTACTTTTGTTTTTTTTAATTAAGGAATATTTTCCATTTAAGAAAATATAAATTTATCCATTAATCTATTTGCAGTCATGAACTGGGGCCACAAAATTATTCCAGGGACTGAAAAAGTTTGGACCCCTGGTATAAATATTTCACAGTTATGAAGAAAGTAAATACTTTTTTTTTCTTTTTGTCAAGTGTGAAGTTTGACATGTCACAAAAAATAGTAACAAAAGCATCACAGAAATTATTTGCAGCAGCTTAAATTGAGTTTTATTCATCAGTTTGCAAAAAAATGACAGTTTTTGGATTTACATAGAAAAGTTTTATTGTTGGTCTTAAAGAGATGAATAATAAAATACTGAACTGAAACACAAGAAAAAATAGATAATTAATTATTGTGCAGACAACAATTTAAAAGAAATCAAAAAAGTATGAATAAATTGATCACTGAAATTCTGCATTTATACAAGAATCAGAAAGAAAACAATTTATTTTACAGAAATTAAAAAATGTTTTCATCTCATCAAAGCAGCAAAAATGAATTTAGTGGCACAAAATACTGAAACCATATAATTAACAAAAAAAACCCCAAAAACATTCCTGAAGCTTCCGGATCAGAATAAAGGGACAAACGCTTGTTTTGGTTTTATTATGTTTAATAAAATAAAAGTTCATTCACCTGGAATCATATATAATTTAACAGTAAAACATTGTTTTAATTTTTTATTGAAATACTATTTTATGTGGAAAAAATATATCTTACAATTTATACTTCCAGCTTATTTTAAAGAAGCTTTGACAAGAAATGAAATATTTAGGCAAAAATGAAAACTGGTTTAAATTAAGAGAAAAACTAAATCGACCAGCAGATTAAGAAAATTATTTTGACACATTAATTACGTCACATACAAAAGATTTTTCACTTTTAGGTGATTCTTTTGAGAAAGAAATTTGTTCAGCTTGTAAAAAGTAAAGTTGAGCTGAATAAAGATTTTCAAGGAAATAATAATAAAATAATTTTTCCTGAAAAATTTTCTATTTCTGAGATTCATCTTAAGATTTTTCAGATTCTTCCAAATCCCTGATTTTTTCTTTTTCCTTTTTTATAATTTGACATCAAATATTTAAAGTAAAAAAAGTCCACCATCCTGCTGGTCTGGACTGGGACACTGGGAACCTGAACTGGTTTGTCCTGAAGTTCCTCTGATTCTCCTGCAGCGCAAAGAAAAGAAAGAGTTAAAAAAAATAACAATTATTTAAAAGCTAAATGTTAGCCTGATAAATGAAGCTACTATTAATGCACTTTTATATGAGCAGTAATTATTTTGCAAGTCAGTGTTTATAAACCATGAATCAGCATTTTACTAGACAGGAAATGAGCTCATAACTTAATGATTAATATCTGAGTTTGAGTTCAGACATAGAAACCATTCAGTGTTTTTAACAAAATGAAGTTTTAAAATGTAAACAGCTGCAGGATCTCCATTAAATAATTAATCCTCCTGCTGCTCATAATTTATCACTTTATGATGATAAAAATGTCAATAAGTTGCATTTTACTTGAAAAGGAATCGACTCACCATTAGTTTGATTTATTCTTCCAACGGCGACTCATAATTTCTAGAAAACAGGAAAAATGTTCTTAGATAATGACATTAACAAAATGTTTGACTTTATTCCTGTATTGCTGAGTGCAGCTAATATTTCATTAGAATACAGATTATTTTCAGTAATTTTCTTTCTTTCTATGTCAGAAATGTTGCAGCAGATGTTTTATTAATGCGGCTGAAAATGTTTTAGGAAATTCTGCTGACATCATCAAGAAGCTGCAGCTTCATCTCTGCTGAAAACAATGAAATTATATTCAGATGAATTTAATTTCCCTCCAGTATAAACAGACGACTGAATCATAACCTGATGTCTTTATTTAATCTCACAGGAGGAAAATATTAATACTGTCAAATAAATATTTACACAAAGAACTCTTTATTAATCTGTTACCATTATGTTGTTTACATTGTCTCACATTGTCCAATATCATTCAGCATAATTAATTAAAACGTGAATATTATTTTACCTTCTATCACTGTGCAGATTACAGGTGATAATCCAATCACAGCCATCAGGATTATCTCCATAATCTGCCAGATCTGCTCAGCAAACGGAGGATTTCCTGAAAAATCAACCAACTTTATTATTATTATTATTATTATTATTATTATTATTAGTAGTAGTAGTAGTAGTTGTAGTAGTAGTAGTAATAATAATAATAATAATAATAATAATAAAATTGCCTCTAAATAAAAAGCCAGCAGAATCGTTTGCTGATCATTTTATGTTGAGGTTCATCTGGATCAGACTGATGGATGAGACATTTAGAACTGAACAGAACCATCTGGTTCTGGTTCTGGTTCTTACTGAGTTTATGAAGTGTTGCTCTCCTCTGGTTGCTCCTGGTTCTGATGGTGCAGCTGTAGATCCGATCAGAACCGTCTGGATCAATCAGAGAGCTGCTGATGTCATAAAGCTTCTCCTCAGTCTGATGGACTGTGGTTCTGCTCTGCAGAGCCGTGTTGGATGGAGGCTCAGTGGACCAGGTGAGTTCAGGTTGAGGGTAGATCCCCTCTGAGCTGCAGGTGGTTCTGTTTCCATCCTGTTGGATTCTGATGTCAGAACCTGGAGCTGCAGCAGAACACCGATCTCTTCAGAACATCCAAAATATCAACATAATAATTAAATTGTTTTAAATCCCACCTTCTACTCTCAGGTGAATAAAAAACAGTTTATTTCCACTGGTTTTGCTGGTGTTGCACCTGTAGGTTCCCTCGTCCTGAACTTTGACCCCTCTCAGCAGCAGGGAGGCGTTTCCTCTGGAGATCTGATCCAGGAACAGAGACGTTCTGCCTCTGAAGTTCTGGTTCTGGTGGCCCAGTTGGTCCTGATTGTCATAGTAACAGTGGACGGCGTCGTCTCCGGGGGTCAGGCGGCTCCAGGTGATGATGACATCAGAGCCGCCGCCGCTGGAGCCGCCGCCGCTGGAGCCGCCGCCGCTGTTTGCTCATCTGGAAAAATGTGGCTGTTAAATAATAAATCTGAGCTCATTGTTGATAAACACCAATTCTTTAGTTTTATGAATTGTTTGTTAGTTTGCAGTTTGGTTTATAATCAGATATAATTATTGACGGATTGATTATCTGTTTAATTATTATTTGCTATAACTTGGATCTATCCTTCTGTCCTTTAATCATTTATTTTCTAAATACATGTTTGTTGTTTTGCTCTTCAGATTTTAGAAAAACAAAAGAGAAACTAACCTGTAAGTCAAAGTGAAACGACTGAACAGCTGCTGGTTGATATCATGTTTTTATTTCCTTTACATGACAAAAATAAATTCACAGATTTTCCACTCTGTATGTTCAGTGTTTTGTTTTTTTTATAAAAATGATTAGAAACCAGTAGATTATTTTTTATCATGGCTTTCTCATCAGAAAACTGACAGTTTGAAGATAAATATTGTTTATAAACATTAAACTGAAAAATGTCTGAAATTCATAATTTGTCTGAAAACTTAAAATGTCAGATGAGTTGAAGTTTCCAGACTGAAGCTGCAGTTTGAAAAAACATGACGATGTTTCCTCACCTGCTTTTGAACAGATCCACTGGCCGCTCAGAACCAGCAGAACCAGGAAGCTCCTGATGCTGCCCATGGCCCAACTGGGCAGCTACTGGTCCCAGCTACTGGTCCCTACTGGTCCCTGCTACTGGTCCCTGCTACTGGTCCCTGCTACTGGTCCCTACTGGTCCCTGCTACTGGTCCCTGCTACTGGTCCCTGCTACTGGTCCCTACTGGTCCCTGCTACTGGTCCCTGCTACTGGTCCCTGCTACTGGTCCCAGCTACTGGTCCCTACTGGTCCCTGCTACTGGTCCCTACTGGTCCCTGCTACTGGTCCCTACTGGTCCCTGCTACTGGTCCCTGCTACTGGTCCCTGCTACTGGTCCCTGCTACTGGTCCCTGCTACTGGTCCCAGCTACTGGTCCCAGCTACTGGTCCCTGCTACTGGTCCCTACTGGTCCCTACTGGTCCCAGCTACTGGTCCCTACTGGTCCCTGCTACTGGTCCTGCTACTGGTCCCTACTGGTCCCTACTGGTCCCAGCTACTGGTCCCTGCTACTGGTCCCAGCTACTGGTCCCTGCTACTGGTCCCTGCTACTGGTCCCAGCTACTGGTCCCAGCTACTGGTCCCTGCTACTGGTCCCTGCTACTGGTCCCTACTGGTCCCAGCTACTGGTCCCTACTGGTCCCTGCTACTGGTCCCTGCTACTGGTCCCTGCTACTGGTCCCTACTGGTCCCAGCTACTGGTCCCTACTGGTCCCTGCTACTGGTCCCTACTGGTCCCTGCTGGTCCCTACTGGTCCCTACTGGTCCCAGCTACTGGTCCCTACTGGTCCCTGCTACTGGTCCCTGCTACTGGTCCCTACTGGTCCCAGCTACTGGTCCCTACTGGTCCCTGCTACTGGTCCCTGCTACTGGTCCCTGCTACTGGTCCCTACTGGTCCCTGCTACTGGTCCCTACTGGTCCCAGCTACTGGTCCCTACTGGTCCCAGCTACTGGTCCCTACTGGTCCCTGCTACTGGTCCCTACTGGTCCCTGCTACTGGTCCCTACTGGTCCCTGCTACTGGTCCCTACTGGTCCCTGCTGGTCCCTGCTACTGGTCCCTGCTACTGGTCCCTACTGGTCCCTGCTACTGGTCCCTACTGGTCCCTGCTGGTCCCTGCTACTGGTCCCTACTGGTCCCAGCTACTGGTCCCTACTGGTCCCTGCTACTGGTCCCTGCTACTGGTCCCTGCTACTGGTCCCTACTGGTCCCAGCTACTGGTCCCTACTGGTCCCTGCTACTGGTCCCAGCTACTGGTCCCTACTGGTCCCTGCTACTGGTCCCTGCTACTGGTCCCTACTGGTCCCAGTTCATGCTGCCTACCTGCCTGCCTGCCTTCCACCAACCTGCTGGGATTATGACTTCATGGAAACGGATCAGATTAGAGAAACTGATCCTCCCACCCTGGTTATTAGTTTCACTTTTTATTTGACTGCAGCTCAGAGTTACTGTAATTATCACCATCACTTTTTCTGAGTCTGTTTTTAGAAAACAGACTCAGAATTTAATACAAGAAAAATAAAATCTATTCATCACAATAAATTACTTCAGGTTTTTATCTTTGATCCATTTTGGATCTGCAGTGAAAGGTTTTTCACGATGAACCAGGAAGTTCATGAGGTTTTTTCTGGTTGTTTCTGAATTTTTAACATTTAATGTTAAAAACCTAAAATACATAAATTCAGAAGAAATAAGTGCAACAGCATAAAGTGCCTCATCTTTACATCAGTTCAACGATTTTACAGCAAATTATAAACATAATTCTGCTGGTTCTGATAGCAGCAGGTCAGAAAGTTCATTTAGGCCTCAGAGTTCTGGTTCAGATGGACCACTCTGGTCCTGGTTCTGGTTCTGGTTCTGGTCCTGGTTCTGGTTCTGGTTCTGGTTCTGGTGGGTGTGTCCTTCTGGCTCAGACCTTCGGGTCCATGATCCCAGGGAGGTCAGCTCGTTTTCAGCTCCACCCAGGTGAAGTGAAGCCGTTTGGTTTTCCTGTGGGTGGAGACTCTGAGTTTCCTCCAGGATCCTGAGAGGAGAAACAAGAACCTTCAGTCCAGAACCAAAGTACTGGGAAACACACACAGTTCCCAGTGCAGCTGGTTTACCGCTGGCTGCTGATTGGTCGGTTCTCTGGTTCTTCTTCTATGGAAATATTCTGCTGCTGGGACGGTTTGGACTTCCTGGACTGAAGGGAAACAGAAACATCATCAGAACCAGCTTTACTTTGTTCAGACAAATGAATAATTTAACTTCTAAAAGACTTTATTTGCTCTCAAGAGACATTTAAACATATAAATATTGTTTATAATGATGTATTTATTCACTTCACGTCCAGCTTACCTTGATACATTTTTCCACAAAGAACGGAACCACCATCGTTGAAATGGACACCAAAATGACTCCAGCTACGATCCCGGCGCCCTGAACCCGACCTGAACACACAGCAGGTTCCCGTCGACACGTCTGGGTTTCATTTCAGCTTTTCAAGCACTTTAAAAGAATCACCTGCTGTTCCCGGGTTCTCCAGCCTGCTGGTCCGGCGGTTCCTGCGGGTTCCCACGGTGCAGACGTAGGTCAGGTCCGTGTCGTTGTCCGGAACATGCAGGAAGCTGCTGATGTTGAACAGCTGCTGCTCGGTCCGCTGCAGCAGAGTCGAGCTCTGCAGGACCAATTCGGACGGCGGCTCGGTGGACCAGGTGAGGTCCGGTTCTGGGTAGATCCCGTCCGAGCTGCAGATGATCCGGTTCCCTGCTTGTTGGACGTTGACCGTTTTCACCGGAGCTGCAGAAACATTTTGTTCCAAAAACACCAAAGAATGTTTTTATTTTCTACAGCAAAAATTTCAGAAAAACTAATTTAGTACAGCGAGATGTGGGAGTTTGTTTTATGTCAATAAAAGAGTGAAAATCAGTTTCCACTGGTGGATTATTCCACTTATAAAGAGACATTTTCTCCATGTTACAAGTGAAATAATCTGCCAGCTCTAACCAGGACTTTAATCTCAATCTGAAGGAATTATTGACTTTAATCAAACTCATGTTACTGAAAAGTCACGTTTATTCCAAGTTTTTAGACCAGATGAAGATCTGATGATGATCTTCAGATGAAGATCTGAGACGATCTTCAGATGAAGATCTGAGACGATCTTCAGATGAAGATCTGAGACGATCTTCAGATGAAGATCTGAGACGATCTTCAGATGAAGATCTGGGACGATCTTCAGATGAAGATCTGAGACGATCTTCAGATGAAGATCTGAGACGATCTTCGTCTGGTTCTTATGTTTCCATGTAGATGCTGAAATCCTCCCACCGTCCACAGACACTCTGATGAACTGCAGCCTGGTTCCTGCTGAGCTGCTGCAGTTGCACACATATCGGCCCTGATCCTGGACCTTCACTGCGCTCAGCAGCAGAGACGCGTTTCCTGAGGCGTTTCCTGAGGCGTTTCCTGAGGCGTTTCCTGAGGCGACCCAGTCTGCAAACAGAGACGTCCGACCTCTGAAGTTCTGGTTCTGGTGCTGGACTTGGTCTCTGCCGTCATAGTAAGAATGAACGACGGATTCTGCTGCTGCCAGCTGAGTCCAGTGGACCGCCAGAGCGTCGGCCGGCTGGAAGCTGCATGGCAGGATGCAAACCTCACTGAACACACAGGAGACGCTTCTGTCTGAACAGAGGCAGAAAACATTTACAGTAACATGTTCATCCCTGGAAATGCATTTTATATGTCAATGAAATCCTGAACTTCCTGCTTTTCTAGTTTTATACAGAAAAATGTACAACCAGTATCTGAAAGTAAAAAGAAAAAGTGATTTATCACTGCAAGAATATAAAATCGTAACAAATATTTTGGTCGTTTTGAGTGCAAACAACTTATTGAAACAAAACAAAACTAACAAAAAACCTTTTTTAAAAGTCAATAGATTCTTAATATTGATGAAAAACTATTAGTTCCTCTTGTAACAAAACATTTTTACAAAGTTAGTAGTGAAATATTTTTTTTATAAAAATCAATGTTAAAGAATTACTGACATAAAACAAGTTACTGTCAGTTAATTTTGTCTTGTTCAAGATATTTGTATCGGGAACTAAACAGCCTGACATTTTGGTCAGATTTTATGTTTTCAGTTTTTTCCTCCCAGGCAGAACAGCAATGGCAAATGTAATTCAATAATTAAACACTAGATGGCAGCACCTCGTCTGTTTTCATACCCGGTTTATTTCCTTTTGCAGGTTTTGTTTTGTTTGTTTGTTTGTTTTAACATTCCTGCTGTTTCCACTTTGACAATTTTATAAGAAAATAAAAATAACATTCCTGTAATAATCCTCAAATTGATTCTTTTATTATTTATTTGTTTCTCAACAACCAGCTGCTGTTTGGGCCCAGTTTGACATAATCCATATTAATCTGGGTTTTTTATCAAAGCACTGTGATCATTTTAATTCCTTTGTGTTTGGGATTTTGAAGGAATATTTTCAGATTGGTTCAGTTTGTTGGTTCAGTTTGTAACAGTAGAAATTTTTAATTTATGTTAAATAACACCAAGCATGCATATTATTCAGGTTTAACTTGTGATACATTTCAATTTTATTTAAAAATAATTGTCTTAGACGTTACGACGAGTCTCACAGTCAGAGGTAATGATTATAATATCAGTAAAATTATTTGAGCTGCTCTGTTTCCTGCTTTCTGTCTGTTTCCTGCTCTGCTTTGAATCCAAAATCCCAATAAAACCAGGTGACACTGGATTAAAGTTAATCTGAATAATCTGTAAATTTTTCTCACCTCCTTTACAGAAAGTCCAGAAAAACGACACAACGCCCCAAAACACGACACCCTTCAGCTCCGTCATCGTCCGGCCGGATATCAGCCGACGCTGAGCTGATGGCGAAGGAAAGGCGTGACGAGTCTGAAAACATCTCACCAAACTGGAACCAGGAACCGGCTGACATGTTGTTGTTCAGAAACAAACAAGAGAAAAAAAACTGTTAGCAGCTTCAGCCTCTGCAGCAGCAGGAAGAACATTTGATCCAAATCAGGAAGGCTGGTTTAAAACTGTCTAAAGAAACGATTCCAGCTTTATGCTTTGAATGGAAGCAGCAGGACTGATCTGTTTCTGTTGCTCACTGAATCAAGACTTAATGTGTATTTATGGAAATATGAGAAAAGCCAAAATAATCATAATCAGTTCAAACATTAAATGTTGAACTGAATGCAGTTCTGAGATCCATGATGTTCATGAAAGTCCAACCTTCAGTTTCTTTGTCAGATTTTTGTCATTTTTTTATATTTGCCCAACATTTCACTCAAATGTTGCAGCTTGTTGTTCGTGGGGGCAAAGGTCAACCACTCTAATCGGTGTGAACTCTGACCTGCATATTCTGAAATGTTTTGCTTTTTCAACACGTTGGATTCACACCTTCCTGTAAAAAACTCACTTCTGACACCTCAGTGAGCCGAGCGTCAATATTTGGGCCTTCGGGTCATGACCTCCTGACCTGTGGGTCAAAGGCTCCGCCCACCTCTGTCACTTTTCATAAAATACAATAGATTACAACTTCTGTAGAAAATTATCTCTAATTTTTCTGTAATTGAGGAAACAGAAATATTTTTTTCTGAATTTAATGGACCTAAAACTGAGCAGGTTTAGTCTGATTTAAGGTCAGGCAGTGAGTGACGATCCACAAAGTTTGATCAGTCGTCTGGATGTGTGAATGTAGGGTGAGTCAGTTTAGAGTCACGTTAGACTGACTCTAGCAGCTGTGGGTATTTTTAGAGGTCAGCTGATATCTGACGGCTGTGTGAGGCTGAGTGTCCAGATCTCCTGGGTTCCTCCAGAGACGCAACAACTCAGTGACATGTTTTCTTTTTCTTTCCTTCATCTTTTCTTTTTCTTTCTTTCATCTTTTCTTTTTTCTTTTCTTCATCTTTTCTTTTTCTTTCCTTCATCTTTTCTTTTTCTTTCTTTCATCTTTTCTTTTTCTTTCCTTCATCTTTTCTTTTTCTTTCCTTCATCTTTTCTTTTTCTTTCCTTCATCTTTTCTTTTCTGCAGATGAATCTGATCAGCAGCATATCAACAGATGTAAAACTTTACTTTTAAACTAGAACTTATCAGTTTTCAAACACATTAAAAACTTCTGGAAAGTTCTGGATTAACTGATTTAACTTGACAATGAGAATATTACTGAGGCGTGACCTTTGACCTCTCCAGGCAGCAGTGTTTTTGGTTGCTCCAGATCTTTGCAGAGTCCATAAAGCTGGAATTTTATGAAGATTTTAAATAGTGTTTTAAGGTGTGGTTATTATTAATATAAGGTGATTATATAATTAAAATTGAAATGTAATATGTGCAAAAATATACTGAAGTGAAACATTTCCATGTCTGTATTTATTTAAACCACAGAGTTAAAGCAAAAGACCATGTCTTGCCCCTTTAAGAGCAGGTTATAGCTGCTCTTAAAGGGGCAGTGTTACATATTTTACAGGTGATTTTTATAGCACAACCAAGTAACTTTGGGTAAAACAAGCTGCAGCTTTTCATTATTTATTGTTTAAAACCTTCAGCTTCCAGATAAAATAAATAAATTGCCATGTGATGCGGAAGATCATTTAAAACTCTATAATTAAAGCAACATCATGCAAGTAAACCCCAAATTATTTAGGATTGAGATAATCTTAATCCTAATCTTTGATCCACCTGTTCACCTTGATGGTCGGACCCTTAAAGTTCTGGTGCGGTCCAGCTGGAGTCCGGAGCTGAATCCATAGAGATTAGGGTCATGATCAGAGGCTCGTCGGAAATATTAATAATATTTAAAAAGCAACTAAATCAAATATCTGCAGAAGGAAAACAGAATTAAACTTTAAAGCTGAAACTTTTAGCAATTCAGAGATTTAAAGTAAACAGAAAAACTCAAAGTGTATAAAGACATAAAATAATAAAACATACAGAGACAAAAACATTTAACAGTCAGTCAAATTATCTTCATTATCAGTTTTTCTGTAAAACATGAAATTATTGCACGTTTCTGGTTAAGTAGTAAATATTGCATCACAGCTGCTGAACTGCTGTAGATATTTTCATCCTTTCATATCAGACGGATCCGTTTTTAACTTCACAAAGAGCTAATCTGACCAATTATGTCGATTTACAAAGAGCAACTGCAGCTTTTAAACTGATATCTTTATACATTCTTGGATTTTGTTCTCCCAGTGTAAAGACAGAAAATAATGTTTATTCTTCATCATGTTTTTAAAAATGAGGTAGATAACTTAACACAATCCTTCATTATTTACAGTGCAAAAAGTGATTTAAACATACAGTTAGGGCCAGAAATATTTGGACAGTAACACAATATTTGTGAGTTGGGCTCTGCATGCCACCGCATTGGATTTGAAATGAAACCTCTACAACAGAATTCAAGTGCAGATTGTAACGTTTAATTTAAAGGGTTGAACAAAAATATGTGATAGAAAATGTAGGAATTGTACACATTTGTTTACAAACACTCCACATTTTAGGAGCTCAAAAGTAATTGGACATATAAACATAACCCAAACAAAAAAGTTTTTTCTCAATATTTTGTTGCAAATCCTTTGGAGGCAATCACTGCCTTAAGTCTGGAACCCATGGACATCACCAAACGCTGGGTTTCCTCCTTCTTAATGCTTTGCCAGGCCTTTACAGCCGCAGCCTTCAGGTCTTGCTTGTTAGTGGGTCTTTCCGTCTGAAGTCTGGATTTGAGCAAGTGAAATGCATGCTCAATTGGGTTAAGATCTGGTGATTGACTTGGCCATTGCAGAATATTCCACCTTTTTGCTCTCGTGAACTCCTGGGTAGCTTTGGCTGTATGCTTGGGGTCATTATCCATCTGTACTGTGAAGCGCCGTCCGATCAACTTTGCAGCATTTGGCTGAATCTGGGCTGACAGTATATCCCGGTACACTTCAGAATTCATCCGGCTACTCTTGTCTGCTGTTATGTCATCAATAAACACAAGTGACCCAGTGCCATTGAAAGCCATGCATGCCCATGCCGTCACGTTGCCTCCACCATGTTTTACAGAGGATGTGGTGTGCCTTGGATCATGTGCCGTTCCCTTTCTTCTCCAAACTTTTTTTTTCCCATCATTCTGGTACAGGTTGATCTTTGTCTCATCTGTCCATAGAATACTTTTCCAGAACTGGGCTGGCTTCTTGAGGTGTTTTTGGGCAAATTTAACTCTGGCCTGTCTATTTTTGGAATTGATGAATGGTTTGCATCTACATGTGAACCCTTTGTATTTGCTTTCATGGAGTCTTCTCTTTACTGTTGACTTAGAGACAGATACACCTACTTCCCTGAGAGTGTTCTGGACCTCAGTTGATGTTGTGAACTGGTCCTTCTTCACCAAAGAAAGTATGCGGCGATCATCCACCACTGTTGTCTTCCGTGGACGCCCAGGCCTTTTTGAGTTCCCAAGCTCACCAGTCAATTCCTTTTTCCTCAGAATGTACCAGACTGTTGATTTTGCTACTCCAAGCATGTCTGCTATCTCTCTGATGGATTTTTTCCTTTTTTTCAGCCTCAGGATGTTCTGCTTCACCTCAATTGAGAGCTCCTTTGACGGCATGTTGTCTGGTCACAGCAACAGCTTCCAAATGCAAAACCACACACCTGGAAACAACCCCAGACCTTTTAACTACTTACTTGATTACAGGTTAACGAGGGAAAGGCCTTTTGAGTTACTTGCAGCCTTTGGAGTCCATTGTCCAATTACTTTTGGTCCCTTGAAAAGAGGAGGCTCTGCATTACAGAGCTATGATTCCTAAACCCTTTCTCCGATTTGGATGTGGAAACTCTCATATTGCAGCTGGGAGTGTGCACTTTCAGCCCATACTATATATAAATTCTATTTCTGAACATATTTTTGTCAACAGCTAAAATAACAAAACCTGTGTCACTGTCCAAATATTTCTGGCCCTAACTGTATTAAATCCAGTCACAGCACCACAGAGCTTCGTCTCAGAGTCTCTTCCAGGTTCTGCCAGCCTGTCATGTTCTGCATCGGCAGCCAGAGTCCAAAGAAAAACTTCACAAGACCTTCAGTTGCAGTTTGTCTTTTAAAAACATTATTGCTGCCTTGACGTCTGATACTGTGGAGGTGAGATTGTTCAATGTTTCTCAATATGAGGCCAGAAAAATCATTCTGGATCGACTCTGAGTCCAAACCAGAAGAACCGGTCCTGTTCTCTCAGAGACTCGTCACGGATCCGGGCTCCGGTCTTTGTCATCATGTTGGGAAGCAGGGAGGTATTTCTTAAAGCAAAGCTTCTGGAAGCAAAACAAAATTCCTCAGTTAGTCTTTATGAACTTTTTGGAGAAAACATTTAACCCTCTCAGGCTCAAATTACTTGAAAAGACTGTTTAAGTTGTTGCAAATCTGCAACCCCTGACTGGAGAACAGTGAATAATAAATGACTTTAATATCTGCATCAAAGTCTGGTTAAATGCTAAGTCAGAACAAACGAGTTAACATGTAATTTAATCTATTTTATGTCATAAATAAGAAACATAAACAATAATAGATACAGAAAATATGACAAATAATCCTACCTTATTTTTCCAGGCATAAATAGCTGCTCCAATAATTGATATGATGATTACTGCAATCACTGCTCCAACTATGACTGAAGTGTTTCCATCTACAATAGAGAAGAAAAACATGACAGAGAGAAACATTTGCAAATTTTACAATCATTTTTCATCATACAGAGACTTTTTATGTCACATGGGGTTTAACTGGTTAAATAAAGCAAATAATAAATAATAAAAGGAACCAAATGATGTTTTCTGGTCTCTGAACAAACCACAGAAAACGGATTTAAAATCTTT